TACGAACGCAAGAATGAAAAAAAACAATGTATCCAATAGCTATGTTATAATATTATTATTATTATCATCATAATAATAATAATTATTATTGTTGTTATTTTTGTTGTTATTGCTGTTGTTTTTGTTGTTGTTGTTAGCTGACACAGCTAACGTCTGATCCAATCAAGAAAGAAAGTGTTGTAGTAGTTCTGAGCCCAATAACAACTGCCAAACTCAAACAAGCTTAACAATGTGTGCGTATGTATGTATGTATGTATGTTTGTATGTATGTATGTATGTATGTATGTATGTATGCATGTATGTATGTATGTTTGTATGTATGTATGTTTGTATGTATGTATGTATGTATGTATGTATGTATGTATGTATGTATGTATGTATGTATGTATAAAAAGTGCATAGATAAGTATAGCACGCAATAGATGAGAATGAAAATCTAATTTACGAATTAAGAGAGAGAGAGAGAGAGAGAGAGAGAGAGAGAGAGAGAGAGAGAGAGAGAGAGAGAGGACGATGATGATAACGATGATGTTGTTGTTGTTGAAGATGATAATGATGATGATGTTGTTGTTGATGAGGATGATGATGATGACGACGATGATGATGAAGTTAATGACCACTCATTTGATTTATTTATGACCGATCGGTTCACCTTCATTTTGAGTTTTATGGTTCAGTTGGCTTTCCAGAACCCTTCTCCTCATCTTCTTCATCATCATCATCACCACCACTACAACAACAGCAGCAACAACAACGACAACTAAATATCAACAATAACAACGAAAATGCAGCCATTCATGTCATATATAGGATCTATTTATAACAACGTAACGTCATCGATAGAGCGATCAATGTTAATGGGCTTTTTATAAGCTTGTTTGTATTGTATGTATGATTGTTTGTATGTTCGAATATGTATATGTATGTTTGTATGTATGAATATGTATATGTATCTATGTTTGCATTTATGAATATGTATATCTATATATGTTTGTATGTATGTTTGTATGTCTGAATATGTGAATGAATGTATGTATTGTACATTTGTATGTTTGCATGTGTTTGGTTTGTTTGTTTTATGCTTACGTGTTTGTTTATTTGATTGGTGGTTGTTTGAACGTGTATATTTGGGGGAGTGTATATGATGATGATGATGATGATGACGACGACGATGATGATGATGATAGTTTTCCGAGCACAAACATCTCGAACAAAAAAAATTTGCAAGAATCCCATTTGCTCTTCTGTTATAATATAGTGCCTGTGTTGCGTGTGCGTGCGTATGACGTCATCGTCACGTCATCAATAACATCACAGACACACGCACACACACGTACACACACACACACACACACGCACATTATAAAAAAATTTGCAGTCCTGAAAATAAACTAAATTGATTAGAAAAAAACCATTTATGCCAGGATAAAAAAAATCCCATCGATAAAAACCAAAGAACAAAGAACAGATAGCATAAAAAAAACAAAAACAAAACAATGTATCAGAAACAATGAAATGAAAGTTTTCTTTAAATAAAACGAGAGTACATCTACAGACGAACAGACGGTCCATCCTATTTCCTCCACTTCACATTTTTAAGAGCACCATCGACTTTTATTTTAGTTTCGTTGTTGTTGATGTTGTTGATATTGTTGATGTTTTCAGCAACATAAAAAAAACAGCGAATAAGCTAAAAATAGGAAGGAAAATAAATTAATTTTCTTTGTTTTGTTGTGCCTTTTCTTCAATACGTTAACAGTTTTTTCCAGATAAATTTTTCCTCGACTAGTTTTGTCGCACAATTTTCCTTATTCCTTTCAATTTTATATAGATTTTTTTAAAATTTTCTTCGCAATCGCCTGTCTGAATACGATGCCTGGTGGTGTTTCTGCCTAGAAAAATCTTTTTTTAGAAATTGTTTTCAATCTTTTAAACCATTTTTTATAAATTTTCTCATTTTCCTTGTAACTTTTTCAACATTTCAACAGAAAACCTTCCAGATGACCTTTTTTTTTACTTTTTTGCACTTTTTAAACAGTCAGCCGAAAAAAACATTCAGCGGCGATTGTCTGGCCGAGGGATGCAGATCAATAACAATGGAAGAACGGGAAAGATGAAATAAATCAAAATAGATAGAGTAGAGAAAGAAAAATGAATGAATGAATGAATGATGAATTAACGAATGAATTAATAAATGAATGATAAATGAATGAATGAATAAATATAAATAAATAACTAGATAACTTTGTCATTCAATCCAATCTATTTTATGTTCAAAATGATGGATGAATGTCTATATATCTTTCAATACTCATTCTATCTTTCTTTGATTCTGTGTGTACGTATGTGTGTAGGTATGTGTGTGTTTATATATTTTTGTGCCCATTTTTGTACAAGTGTGTACAAATCGCGTTGATACATTCTGAATGGGTGATGGGGAATGATAATTTTCTGCTGCTTTTCAATCGAATGCTTTATGATAGCATACAAAATTGATGATGATGACGACGACGATGATAATAATAACAATAATTGTTTTTATTATAATGAAGATGATGATGATAATAATAATAATAATTGTTTTTATTATAATATATTAATAAAAGGTGACAACTTAATATTAAAAAACACAAGAGACACGCAGTTTCCTAAGATACAAACATCTATTTAACATAAACACATACACACACACACATACAAACACACATACAAATACACACATGCACAGACACAAATACATACATACAGACTCACTCACACACACATATAAATTCATGCAAACACACACACATACTTGCATTAAAAAAAATACTTCACATTTCGAAGAATAATGGTCATCTCATGCTGAAATATAAATTGCCATTTGGAGACATAATAATAAAATTATAATTAAAACTAGTAATAATAATAATAATTGATAATAATTAATAATAACAATAATTAATAATAATAATAATTAATAATAATAAGAGTAACAGTAGGACATCTATACCAAATGGCACTTATCATTCAGCACAGTTGTTAATTAATTGATTGAATAGGACTTCGTATAATAATAATGATAATAATGAAAATAAAAATAATATGATAATAATAATAATATATAATAATAATAATAACAGTAGTCAAACGAAATGTAATAATTTTTCTCCATCTTTATCATCATCATCTTTTTCTTCAACTTGTTTTCTTCTTCTTTTTATTCTTCTTTTTCCTCTTCTTCTTCATCCTCCTCATCATCATCATCTTTTTATAACTATTATTTATTTATTATTATCATTATTATTCTTGAATGAGTAACAGAGCATTGCTAGTATTTATTACAAGTAAACAGATCAATAAGTGACCTTTTAGAGGATCTACAAAAATATACACGCATACATACAAACAAACAAACATACGTACATACGTACATACATACATCGGATTTATATACATATACCTTATTTCTTTTTTCCTTAACATAACAACAAAATATGTTTACAAAAGATTAATATACACAGCCAGGCAACAGCAACTCTAGATGCATTTATACCCACGCACAAACAAACAAACAAACAAACACGTACATAAAAACACAAACACTTACATACAAACACATACATACGCACGTACGTAAATAAGCAGTAAAACCTCAATGCAAGAGACGCAAATATGATGGTTTATTGGCTTGTTTGTTTGTATGCCTACTGTTCGTTTGATATACATGTATGTATGTATGTATGTATGTATGTATGTATGTATGTATGTATGTATGTATGTGTGTATGTGTGTATGTATGTATGTATGTATGTGTGTATGTATGTATGTATGTATGTGTTTGTACGTAGCTATACATACATAAATGCATACATAGAGACAGTCGAATTGCAAATAAATTTAGGAAAAATACCTAAGCCGATCAACAGACGAAATATCGAGTGTGAGTCTTACGACAATGAAATATACAATGATTTTATTAAATATTATTTTGCAAATTATTTAAAAAAGTGAATGAATGAAAGGAAGAAGAAATGAGACAAAGAAAGAAAGAGAGGGAGAGAGAGAAGAGAGAGAGAGAGAGAGAGAGAGAAGGAAAGGAACCTAGGGAGAGATAGGAAGGAGACAGGTATGTATTAAGGATCGTGTAGTACGTGTAGTCAGCCATCAATTAAATATTATTTGATGCACTTTTTACAAGGAAAAAAGAAAGATTCAGAGTAAAAGAAAGAGCAAAAGAGAGAGGGAACAAGAAATAAGAGAGAGAGAGAGAGAGAGAAAGAAAGATGGAGAGTGATAAACAAGTCTATATTACATTGTACATGCAGTCATTAATGATATATTAATTTTTAAATGTTTTACAAGAGATAGAAAATGAAAAAAGAATGTGAGAAAGAAAGAGTACATGTAGGCATCAATTAAACGACATGGGATGCGATGACTTTCATTGGCTACTGCACTGTCGGCGAGCTATTTGTTGTTTGACGGCACGGAGAAGATAAATAATGTTAGATCAATATTGGAGAGAGAGTGAGAAGAAATGAGCGAGAGGGAGAGAGAGAGAGAAAGAGAGAAATAAAAAGAATGATGCAGATGAAAGGGAAGAAAATAGTTGGAATAGATGTATAGATGGGTGAATGAATGACGAGAAGATAACACAATAGAGAAAAGATAGACAGATAGATAGATTGATAGAGAGAGAGAGAGAGAGAGAGAGAGAGAGAAGAGGGGGGGGGGGGGTTAGATGAACCAT